CGGAGTTCACATGCTGTGTTTAGCGGTTTGACCTACGCTGTTTCTTTATCCGTGTAAGGTTAAATAAAATACACCAAGCTTTAACAGGAATAGGTGGTACTGGAAACTCCATGTCTTTGTTTATGTCATAAAAAGTAAATTTCACTAAAACGAAGCAGCTTGTAACGCGCGTACAACGAATTCAGTAGAAGTTGCTCAAACTTCCGCGCGCAAAAACCTTACTGTCATAGCATAACCAAATGTAACTAGGCCACTTCCTTCGGACTGCCAAGTTTTCAAAAAAACTGAAGATTGCTAACTACCCTGAAGTCGAAATCGAAGTGAAATCACTTACTATCATTAACATCTGTCCTTACCGCATTTCAACTACATGGCGGTCTGGAAAGCGAGTGCATATTTTGGGATAGCCACAGAACTGCTGTGGTGCAAGAAAGTGTTACAAAATCACGTTTTTCTTGGATTCCTATGTTATTGTATTGCTCCTGATGGTAAAATGTGATATGGACGTAGTTGTGAAACGTGTGACGTAGCTGTGAAACCGGACCCAGCTTAACTGATTCAAATCTAACTAACGATCCTCTGGTAGCCACAGGCATTCCTTAAGCTGGACATTCGCATGTAGTGCATATTGCGTTCGATAGACTATCTGAGATGCAGGAAGAGGAATTTCTTGAAGGAGTTACAGTCCTGTTAAAGGGGGACTACCGCGGAACGGATACGTGTAAAATTTAACTCGACGAATTTTTCAATTCTAAATTATATTGAGATAATGAGATGCTACTTCCCCGGTGCATGAAAAAACCGTGACTCCCATCATCACGATTGCCGTTGTGGTCCTGCAAATATACAAACATAAAAGTACAAATTTGTGGACGAAAAAACTCAGATGATAATCCCCAGGTAAATAGCTATTAGTCGGTTTGTTTAATAACGCAGTAAATTTCTTCTTTCTAACTATTCAAACGGTCCGACGATAAACACAGCTCACTCGCACGTGCCTTTTGGCTCTAAATATCAGGACTATGGAATTTATGCAACAGAGTTTGGTGTAGTTCCCCTTGAATCATTGGTGCCTAATGAAAAGGTGAGTATTTATACCGAGTACCATTTGTGTCACCTACTGCACGCACTGAAATATTCTATTGCTCAGAGCTGGTGACAGTTCGTGCTTGAAGTTATACAAAAATCCTGATCAGTCGATTGTTCCGATTCTCCGTCCTTGCTGCTTCCAACAGTATATTTCACCTCACAAAGCGCACTGATAAACTTATTTGATTGAGAGCGAGACCAGGAGTAAGCATATGGGATTCCATTTGAGAAAAACGTAGTGGTTCTGCAAATGCATGGCTCGTGAGAATGTATGATGGAATTTGTTGCATAAAGATGATTTTTATGCGCCCTTCGCTTTCTCGTTTATCCTTTGAAAGCAGTTGCCCCTATCCTGATTATTCAAGAAAAAAATCTGGTGGTTTCACCCTCATCTGGATAGAATAGTCAACGAGTCACTCACTTCGGCTACCACCCGATGAGGTCTCATGAACCTTTCGTCTACTGTGCCGGAAAGTGGTTAATTTGTGCAAATGGGGCCAGAAAACAAGAAAAGGAGAAGACGGTTGGGGATAGAAAGAACTCTTTTAGCGTTTAAAGGCTCATACGTTTAGCTGTGAGCCAATGAACGAAAAATACACGAAACCAAGCTACCCTGAAATTTCGCTACATCCCCTATGGATTTGGTTAAGATGACATTCCGTGCTCCTTGAGGGTTGAGAAAGCTTTTTAGTCTAATGAACTGGCACGAATTCCTCTGTGAAATCACATCATCGATGAGTGCAAGAACAATACCACAGCACTGCATGAGACAGCACTTTTAGTGCTGGAGTGGTGCTGAGGGAACTTAAACCTGCTATCAGACTCCTCATGCAAAGCTAACAGGCATGGATTAGTGAAATACACTCATCTGCAAACCAATTTGGTTTTAACAAGAGAGCCACCTGGAGCACAGCGGAACACAGCGTTTATGATGTTCTTAAGCAACTGAATGTGCTGCACAAGGTCGCCTCATGTTTTAGTTGGCAAGAAATTCGGGATATCGACATCTTAACCGAGAGGTTCCGCTGGGTTCCAGGTGAGTCTCCCATCAAAACGAAATTGGTATGCAAATAAGTGTATTCGCTAATTCCGTGCAATTTGGGTTCAAGTAGAACATAAGGTTGGCGGAAACTGGGGATTGCGCCTAACTGAAGGGTCCCAGGAAGGGCGAAACCGGTCGTGGGCTGTTGAAGTGTTTTCAGTTACCCAATGAGTAGGTGTGGATTAATTACAAACAAAAGTTCGCAAACCAGGTAAGCTTGAGTTTCTGGACACTGTACAAGTCCACTATGTTTAAAAGATTGAGCACTGAGCAAAAAATAAATCGACTACTGAACGCAAGCAAAATAGGAGGATCTTGGTCATAACTGTGTCATCTGAAATTACTCCTGTACTAAACAAGGAAGTAAACTGTTTTCGTCAGAGCAACGTTTGTTCTTTATAGTCCACTAGATTTTTAAGCTAGTTCGTGCTTGTTACGTTTCACGTCTCTTATTTGGCTTGAGTTGCCAAATCATGTAAAACTGTGAACAGTTTGGTGCAAGATAACGATTTGTCCACTAGTCACCCAGACTCAACCATCATTATTTTCTAGGTAGTTGATGGTTACCCAAAGTGAAAACTATGAAGGTAAGTGGAAGGCTTCTGTTGATTTTTTATGGAGTTGAATTCTGTGAACAGCGGACATAAAATCTAATATAAGCTTGCGGTCGAAGATTTAGCACCCGAGACAATGGTGTATGGCAAACCCCCCTACTGGACACCCCTGTGCCTGAAGACCGCTAATCAGAAAATTCAAAAGGAACTCCCTCTCTCAACCATGCTTTAGTTTGCTTCCCCTTGAAGAATGGCCAACTTCTCCCAGGGTGATGTCCGTCTGGAAGCTAGTCTGCAGTTAGTTGAGTGTTTCAACAAGATATTCACATATTCCATTAAATCACTGAAACGTATTACAGGAAACAATACCACATCGTCCAGAATGACGGTAGGAAAGGTACCTATAGCTGTCCCTCTATGTGTAAACTTCTTGACCAGTAAAGTCAAACCTTCTTGACAAACTTACTACGGTTGAACACGACAAGCTAGCTGAGTTCTTCAGAAAAGCAACGACAAAGGAACACCTAAGTTTACCATTAGACTAATCAGCTCGGTCGGAATGACCCAGACGAGCTTGTTATCTTCCGCTGCGTACACGGTTTGCCAACTATATTTAGCTTTTTAGGGGTGTTTTCACAACCAGGCGGTCTAATTAAAAGCTGAACCCAAACAGTGGAACCAAATCATACTCTTGGCTTAGACTGTCTTCGGTTCGACCCCTGGATGAGTACCAAGTGCAGCTCATGCTCCATCATTTGTTTCTAGCTGAAATATGACCTACTTCTTGGTAAGCTCATCGAATTAGACGGCTTTATTGGCAAAGGTTTGCAAAATCACCTTCAGCTAGCGTGCCATTATAGCACACATTTCTAGACAAAAGCTGCTTGCTATTCGGCTGAACTATGCAAAGCTCGTGGAGATTTATGATCCTCCCTTGTTAATTATGTGAAAATCTCCGAAATTTTGGTGTTATATATAGGACATTTGTCTTCGAATAAAACTCTAGAACCATTCGTGTTTTTTGCATCAACTCGACCATTAATGGGTGGAGGGAGACGAGTATTGATCCAGTGTTGTGAGCCACTCGAAAGCACTTGAAGTAAATGAAGGTCGTTTGTTCCTCTTTATTGATATTTAACTGGTTGTTTACACTGATTAATTAAACTTTATGACCACTTTTTACCCACCTAATAGCCTATTCAGCGTTCTCACTTTTTTCCAGCTGCAATGAACTAAACTTCGTAACTGAAATAAATCTTGCAGTAACACACTGCTAATAAGGTTTCTGAAAACCCTTCGACAGCTCACTACCGGTTTCGCCCTTCTTGGTGATCTAAATGAACCCAGATACTCTCATTGGCACGCTAGTTTCATTCTGACGGGAAATTCAACCAAATCCAGTGGAATTTCTCCTTTATAATAGTCTTTTTAAACTAAATGTGCTGCAACTGGCCAACTGATGTTCCATTTGGTGCTATATTAGAGACATCTAAATACAGTAGCCGGTCGTGGGTTGTCAAGAGGTTCTCAACAACCTTATTAGTCGTGTGTTACATCTAGCAAATCTAATGCGACATCTAGAATATCGCATCATTTGAAAAATGAGGCGGCCTTGTGCGGCTTATTCATTTGAAAAGACCACTATGTACGAGAAATTCGGTGGGACTCACTTGAATCATGCGTCAAAACCGAAGGTGTATGCAAATGAGAGTACTTTGTGTAAACTAGATCCCATCTCAAATATAAGAAGGGTTAAACAAAATTTCCGGTCTCTTAAGTTCCTTGGATTAGGGCTTATGAATAACTTCACTTTTTTCAGCCATACACGCGATCATGCATTGGCTAAGCTAGCACACAGCAGTGTGCAAACAAACTGAATTGAGCAAATCCATATGAAGCAGAAGTCTTGAAAGATAACTTCCAAAAGCAGAGTTTTTGTCCAGAAGCAGTTGAATAGGAATTCCCGACTGCTCTAGCTGAGTACCAAATTCCATAAATAAGGCGCTCACTGAAGAATTTTCGAAGTCGAATGTGCCGTAAACTCTGTCATATCTATCTGGAAATTTCTGACTCCTAGTGTGTAGAAATCGCCGATGGCTTCAAGCTTACCAGTGGATCCTACATAACCCCTTAGTTGAAGCTGATTTCAGGTTCATCGATGCCCACCTATATGAGACAGTTGCTCACTTTCGCTATCATATTAGTGCAAATTGTCTCATTGGAATGCTGTCGCCTAGTTACTAAAAAATTTCTTATTGCTTTGACCACACACCATTTGTTTTGACTTTATGTGGACGGTTCACGTGTAACAAAAGCTATTCAAAGAAGAGGTCTAGTGGGCTAATGCTTAACAGATATTCTACTGGTAAATGGTGAGGAGAAATCATGTTGTTTGTCGTTGGGACCGCGTGATCCTCACTGTGCCTGGTTGGAGACACTACAAGATATGGCTGCCGACCGATGTCAGTGGCGATCATGTTGTCAGTTTCTATCCGGATTGTCTGGGTGAATGTGTGGAGGTGTAGGCACCTGGGAATGATTGTGTTAAGCTAGCACTAAGTCCCTCCCCCGTTCACCTTTACTCTTTTCTTTACAATAAGGCTTTCAAATAAGTCATGGTTGTACGGCAGTAAAGCATCAGTGTTGAACACTGATGTCATGCTGTCGATGATGATGATGATGATGATGATGATGATGACGATGATGATTGTCGTTGGCACTGATGATATTTTGATTTTTCTCGCCGTACATTCGGTTTATTCTCACTACTGAATACTATTCTATCAGTGTCTCGTTTGTTTTAGTCGGATGTTTTACTGACTCGACGTTGTACAACCAACGGTTTCCTTCGTAACTAAGTGGGGTGACTGATATCTTTAATTCGGTAGTGTCGCACATAGGTAAGGTTATTTAAAATGTCGTATCACAAGGCAAGAAACAAGAATATCTTAAATCAACTACTGTAGGAAGAGATGCATTGAAAATGACACTGACCACTAAAGGATACTGGAAAAGACTTACAGTGAAACAAACTGAACCAGTTAGTACCTTTCGTAAGAAACGGGTGTCCCTGCATCTATTTCTGAACTTGACCACAGTATAGGCAAAATTAGGCAGACCGAAACAACATAAACCACACGTTTCCAGGAGCTCAGTTACACTGAGGTTCGGTCCAGGTCCGAGAACTACTATTTTCACATGTTATCTGTCAGTGCACGTGAAGTTTCAGTGAAAGATACTCATGTAGGACGAACTTTGGTCTCTCTCAATCAATAGTTGAACATTTCCTGCTAATGATGCTACAGGCCGTGCAGCTGTTTGGGGATCATGGGATTCAATCTTCAACTTACTTTCCGGTCACTTTGGATCACTTTTAAAGCTTGAAATAGGTAAAATGCGCTTAGATATTTTTTTTCTCGCATTAAGCTTAGTCGACAAACTGTACCTTAGGCCTAATTTTGCAGAACGAATTCACTTACTGAAAAATATTCCTCAGAAAAGCTTGCCTTTTTGTTCGGGCCAAGTTAGACTCAAGGGCAAAGTAATCTTAGGACATAAATCAGATTAAAAGTCACATACGCCTAGGAAGATCTCTATAGTCTTGTCCCAGAAGCAACATTATATCTTAGTTCAGCAAAGCGAGGAGGGGTACAGGTATCAGCTTCCAGTATGTAGTTGTGTGTAGTGGAATTCGTATACCACAAGGAAGTACATTTCATTCAGGGAAGCCACATGAACCATCCCGCAGACCAGATCACTTTCCCCTGACGAAATTCTATTGTATGTGCAGTCAATATTGCTTCGGTGGGGTGAACAAACGCATATTTTGTGAAGGATATGGGCTAATTCGTCTACGCGCATTCATAGGTAGAGCATGGGATTAAAAACTAGTGACAGGCGCTAGGTATCTTTAAACCTCATCTACAATCAATAAGTATCTTCTGGTTCCCACTGTTTTTCAGAAGTTTCCAAGCACTTAGATTTATTCAATCCCCTGATAGTGCGCGCAAACTTCACTCTCGCGAACCTACATTCTTTCCGTTCTTGCTTCAAGCTTCACTCCTTTACTTGTCATTAGATTTCACAGTTTTACGAACTGTGGCCGTCTGAGCTCAATATCACTATGGATCCCTATTCTGAGAAGGCTTAAAAATTTGAAGAAAAAATTTTTTTCAGTGATGAAAAATAATTTCAGCCCAGATTTTCTATACAATTTTGTCGGCTCTCTCAGGGAGGAAATCTCCTTTTAGAAATCCGCCTTTGATTTATCCCATCAGTGATTCTTTTCAGAGAAGGGTAGCCATGTAAACAAGCACTGAGGAGTAAACTGACGGGAACAAACGAAACTTGTCAACATGCTGAACCACGTTTCAAATACGACCAGTGGTATGAGGAGTTTGTTTGTTCACCAACGGGATTAGGAAATGGTGTGAGAAATAGGGTGATACCGTGGAAACTGCTTGTATTTCGTGTAAGCTAGATCTCAGTCAAAAGATATTGTTGCTGAGATAATTTAACGAAGTTAGAGAGGAATATCAACTGGGTATTGATTTTCAATTTCATTGCCTATACTGCCGGCTATACTTGATTCATAGACTTTTCAGGGGAACCTATGCCCGAATTAACTGGATGTTTTGCTAAAGGAAACAGACGAGAGTGAGGAAAATAGCCGTTTCGTAGAGGATACAGTTTCGGTTGGATAACGGGAGAGTGACGATTTCCTGCTTAATTTAATAAAATCAAAGATATACGATTGGTGCAGAAAACACATTACAAAGTTGGACACTTACAAACCATTACCTGTTAGTCTGTTGGAACTTAACATCAAAGGTTTAAATACAGGGCAGGGTGTAGTGAAATGAGATGTCCTTATCCGTTTCGGTTGGCGTGAACTACCTTTTTCAGTGACGTGTTAGTTAAGAATTATATTCGCTACGCTGTCAGATTTCTCGATGGTTGACAACATTTCGTTATTGACATTGGGGCCCAATAGTACGGCCTATCATAGCACGTAACAAACCATTAAAGTAGCTAGCACTTGGCTTTTGGACTTCTTCATTTGACTTTGACTTTTTCATTTATGGAGGGATTTTCTGAGGGTTGTTGAATCTGACGCGGACTGGAACATCAGTGAAGTAACGTTAGTTTTGAATATCTTTGCCATGAATGTTACAGACAGCAGATCGTTCAGGAAACCATAGATTGCTGTAAATAGCAGTGCACTTTGTAGGGATTCAGAATGATTCAGAATAGGTGGATTAACATTCATTTTCCGGATCCCAATGAAACCCAGACAGAACAGAGATCAGTAAATTTCAACCAAGGTTTAATGGCATATTTTCGACTGTATTCACGCTGAGGAAAAGCTCCTTTTCATTGTTTAAAAGTATCGTTAATGATTAGGTGAAAAGTTTAAAAAACGGAGACCGGTAGTCATTTCAAAGATATTGGTGGGGGGAGTGATATGGCGCGCAAAACCAAGTCATCGAAGCTGTGCTCCTGGTTATCCGAGCCTTAAAATGTAGACTGGTGACTGTTTGGCTTACAAATTTTAAGGCAACATTGAGGCTTTTGCGCTACAGAGCTTCAAATGGTTTGGGACTCTGTCCCGAGCGAAAAGTCTGGGAACGAAGCATCCACCCAATCGACTTCAAAAATCGATTAACCTAACCAGGAACAGAATGCGTAGGTTTTGCAATCAACCAATGACGTATGTACTTCAGAGTGACCCGAAGAGTCACAAGTGTCCATAGAATAAGGGGCTTAATTGTACTATGTTAACTCGTCGTGAGTGAATGGTAATGAGCCAGTCTATTGCACGTCAATCTGGAAATTCACTTAATAGCCTGTTAAATACCAGTGGTTTGAGCACAACAAATTCCATGCAAACATATGAACGTGGAATCGTAGAATTATTAGATGTCAGGTCTTGACATCGTTCATTTTGGCAGCAATCATAGCATGTCACAAGTAGTTGGCAATTCATTCAGCTAAAGCAACTCCACTCCCAGAACAGCGACTACACTGAAGGCCCGATTCCTAGTAGACAAAAAACAAAAATGACATTTGCAGTCTATGTTGTGTCGTCAAGTTCGTTTGTAATTACCGAGTAAAAAGTTCCTTATGTTTGACACAGGTCGTCGTTTTGATGACAGACGCACTCATGGGGAATTTTTAGCCTGGGCATTGTTGGTGTTGTGCGCCTTCCAGGATGAGGTCACCGTGATCCCGTTTGTGCTTGGCTGGAGACGTTGCAAGAAATGGTCGCCCATCGATGTCAGTGGCGTTCGTGCTGTCATTTTCTTTCTAGGTTGTCTGATAGCGCGGTTGGAGGTATAGGCACCTCAGAATGCTTGATAAAGGCCAGCACTCGGTCCCCGCCCTCACCCACCCTTTTTCTCTCCTTTTCAGTTCAGGGCCTTTAATATGATCATATATATATGGACATTATATACAACCGCCAACCCACCGGTACGCACTACTACGCTCCCCAACAACGCACTGAAGGTGTCACCTCGATTGGTGATGAAATGTTTGCAATCAAATTGCCCAGCTCAGCGAACGAGCCAACGACCACCATATATATATANTTGTACGGCAGCGAAGCATCAGTGTCAACGCCGATGTTGGTATCTTTGATTGAGTGATCATTGATTGTTCTTTTTCCCGAGACTTTGCTTACGTCTATCGCAGTTGGTTGACGCTCCCGAACAGCGATTAGGTCAGGTTTGATTAAATACGTCAACTCCTCGAAGACGGTGTATCCTAGGCGATGGAGAAGTTTCGCCAGTCCCCTTGCAACCTGATTATGGCGAGCACATCTAGCGTCATGCATGATCCAACAGGACTGCAAGACATGCACCAAACTCTCCGGTTGGCCAAGTTGATCATGCCGAGTACTTTTAACTCTCGTCCTAGGTAGTTTGCTTTGGAGCTGGATATCGCGGATAAATATCTGAGGAAACACTCGTTCCGGAAATGCGAGCCATCGATTAGAAAGAGGCGAAGCGACTAATTCTCGTAAACCACGACCGTCAACTCCGTTGTAAAGACTATCGCCCCAATCAGCTTCCAGCTTTTCTTTGGTGATTATACACGCACCATGGGCTCCGATCGGAAGGCTGAGATCCCGAACACTCTTGCCACATGCGGAATTGTTGACCGAATTGCGTGATACTCGGCACTGTGTAGAAAGGAGCTTTTCCATACGCGCTCTCCACTGCATGGGAATTGTTTCACTCAGACTTGGAATATCAAGTACACCATGTTGTTTACCGGCGTGAGTGTAGCTGATCGGGGCGCCCTTCGGGAGACAGAGTCATACACGAATAGATTGCGCGATGTAACTTCCAACTTTTTGGGAGTGCCCCGGTGGACTTGGCCGAGACCGAGCGAATATGTCAGCTTCGGTATCAGGTAGTTCCTTGTGATTCCCGTTCTTTGATGCGGATTCAACGTGTCACGCGTCACCCCATGGAGCAGTTTGAGCAGCGGCTGCCAGTGGTCACAGACTCCACTCCTGTCAGAATTAGAGGGTATGCCCGAATAGTTCATGGTGTCTGTTGGACCTAGGGGAGTGATGAGTTCCTCCGCGAAGCAAAATTGTTCGACTGAGACCTTTGTCGCCCGATATTTCTTGAGCCCACAAATAACAGTAGCATCGTCTTTCGGACGTCTCCCTTCATACCTGCTCTTCCCAGCTTGACCGCGGCATCTTCAAGCTTCTCTTTAAGGCGAGCCTGACTTTCTGCACACACGATCCAGTTGTCATCAAGGGCAAGAACATTTAATATGATGTCATGGAACTGTTATCTCAGTTGCGACATCGACAATCCAAGAACCTCATCCATTGCTGTCACTGATGATGATGACGATGACCGAGTAGACAAAAAGGATTGTGGAAATGAGCCCATTTGATAATGGCTAAGCTTCTCCGATTGCAAGTAGTTGAAAAACCTATGTAAGTCGCACCTAAATCACTCCATTTCTATTAGTCATTCTCCTTTCCTGAAGCAATTGTTTTGGGTAGGTTTAGCAACAAAAGGGGGGGGCACTGAAGCAAAATTTCGTTTATATTGGAGCAGATCAGCGATGGAAATCCTCCACCGTGCCAGGGTTTTCACTCTGAACATTCGACTTAGAAGAATTCTTCTAGAAAATAATATCCGGAATCAGACGTCAAGAACGAAAGGTTATATTTCTCGCCGATATGTCAATTTCAAGACCTCCAGCCAGTGTTTCCACAATTCAAATAGAAGATGTTTTTTTCTTGGGCTATATTAACAGTGCATTGCAATTTACTGAACTGACCAGCATTCTGCTTGTTCCGGAATAGTTTGGTTGCATTCCGATCTACAGTAATCGAATTCGGCAAGATTACTAAGTGAAAATAAGGAACCTGAATTATACTGTAAAACACCTCACAGAGATGTGAATGGTTACAACCATAATTTGTTTGAAAATAAAACCACAGTGGTGGATGTCGTGCTACATGTGATTTTCTCTTAACTGATAGCGATCAAATCACAGTGCGCGAATGATGTTTGAGTGACGCCTATCCAGGGGTTATGCCCTAACACGTCAGACGAGTGGATCATTAGGTCTGGCTCAGGAATAGTGAGTACTCTTCAGGTCTGAACAAGAACATCTACCAATTCGGAGAGAAACCGGTTTGCAACAAGGCAGAATTCCCGCGACGCTGAACTAGCCAAATATCTCTGAGCATGTTTCATGAATAAGACAACGCACCTGGAGCAAGGTACCACAGAGGATAGAGACAGCTAGTTGCAGCATCCAGCAGCAATTCGACTGTAGCTTTACGTGAGGGAGGCGCGACACTAGCTGTTGTGTTATCCACCCTCCAGGGCAGCGGTAACAAACCAACCACGCATCAGGTTAGACCGGACAAAAAAGTATCCTACCAGCTGTTGTGGCTGGACCACACGTGGGTCCAGTGGTACACTGTACTTGAGTGTTTCAGGTGGAATGATGTGCTGATTCCAAGGAGAGAGGCTATGATTATGGCTTCTGAAAGCAATCTCTATTGGTAAAACCTCTAACCTGGTATACCGAACGGTGGACAAATAGCGCTGATAGACGTCAGCCCATTCAACAGATTTCTGGTATCTTGCAACCTTCACAAATACATATCAGTTTTTGAGGACCCTTCTAATTAAAATGGGTCAAATCCAAAATTTGAACCTAGTTTAGAATGCCCGGGATCTTATCGTGACAAGAGTTTTTTTCTAAAAGTCGCTTGTTTGGTTAACCCAACAGATGAATCGTGATGCTCATATAACGGGAATTTAGATAACTTTGATGTTTTTATCAAATGATGCGCAGAACTTGAAAGATAACGGTTATTTGTTTTTTTATCTTCTAATCTATTTTCGCGAAGAGACTCAACCTTACCGTGGTGTGTGTCACCGTGATCCATTGAGCTATGGTGTCCACGGTGCACTCATAAAGTCCATCACACCAAGTTAGTCAATGGTGAGAAGTCTTCTGACCCTCCAGGTTGGCGGTTGGAACACGTGTGGCCACTTGCTCTTCAAAAATGGCAACTCACTCGCATTTCCCGCCAAACACCACTGTTTTGCGGTCATGAATTTCAGCCAATTTCTTTGACTGAAGACCCTGATCATCCTCCTGTCTAGGTCTGGACGCATTGAGAGTATTCCAGCCCACACAGCCATGGATTGCACGCTTATAAATAATCTCATGCCACATCGGCCGTCGTGTGATGCCATCAGCCGGGTCATCTTACTTGCTGCATACAGCACGGCGGGCAAACTAAAACAGGCCACTATTGACGTCTCCTATCGTTCTTTTTCACACACGTTTTCCTACCCCTCCACCTACCTCATTAATA